CCATTGTACTTTAAATATGTTGAAAGTGTGGGAATTTTTTTTAAATTGAGACCAAATTTCATTGCTTTGAAATCAGAAAAAGATACATTCAGAAAGCCAGGTGTGTTACCAAAAATATTAAAAAAAACATTTTGGAGAAATGAGCTTGACCATTAAATTCCTCACCCTACAAAGTGTAGGTACAGAAATTATTATGATCAATTTTTTTGCAATTTGACCCCCAAAAAAATTAATGAAACAAACTTCCGCATTTTAGGAATTAGACCCGCAACCCCCATTTGTGTACTGAAAATTGGTTCCGTGACCCCCACCTGGACCAGTGCCGCGACGTCCTGTGGGTCGCAGATCCAAATTGGGTGGGTCGTGTGTTGAACCCCCTTTAGAAATTACAAACCTTAATATCTACCCCATGTATACGTAGATTGATAGACAGATACTAGCCTCTCTGCTCCCAAAACCATTAATTCACTCTCCCCCACCCTCTGAACATACCTCAAAGACAAACCCTCCATTTATTTCCACTCCTCACTGCACAATGTGCTGATTTAGCCACCCTAGCTTCCACCCACCCCTTGAGACTCTTCTGGCAACCATACCCAAACCCCTTTTTACTTGAAGACTACTTTGGCTGGTCCCCTTAATCAACTCCCGGATTAACCCTTGTACTCCCAAAACCATTCAATGCCTGCTTGAGCCCCCAGTAATCACCTAATGAATCCCCACTTTTTCTCCACTTCTGAAAACTGAAGTGCATTCCTCTTCTCAGAAAAGGATTGATATTCTTGATTGTTTTTTTTTTGCCAAATTTGCTTATTTCTGCCTTCATGATGCCCTCATCCACTCACGGTACCAACAGCTGAGCCACTGTGCTGCTGCCTTTCCAATAAAATCTCCCCACAGTCTAGATCAGTGTATCTTTTCAGTACATCCAATTTATTAATAAGACATTTTTCACTTCCTTTGTTTTTATTGTATGTTTTGAAAAAGAAAATACCAATTCCCTGGTCCCAACCAAATTTCACCATCTTGTTTTGCTGGATATTTTAAAATAAATCATATTCAACTTCAGCTAGCTTAAACCTAACTTCCAGTCAAACAAACTGTTTTTATCCAAGTAAATTCTGACACTTTTACAAAAAATCAATAGAATAATACAAACAAAGACCTGCTGACTAGTTCCCTTAAACAATACCTGGTTTGGCTTTCGAAATTTAACCCCTGAACATAATGCCACCTGTGATGAAGATCTTGTGGGTTATGAGGTGACATCTGTCATCAAAATCTTCCCTCAGACTGTTTCCTCATTGAATAGTGCTTGCCTATTTTCTTTCAACTGGAAGAAATAAATTAAAATGATTGATGTACACTATTAGATTAATACTGAAATTAAGCTGAGTTGGTTCAATGATATCAAATCAAAGAGTGTATCAAGCCAATTCAATTTATCATGAATCAAAATTTGATTGTTTGATGAGAAGAAGACAATGGAAATAGTTTTGAAAGTAATTTGTTGGGAGAAGACCATGAAGTCAATGATGAGCAGATGTCACAAATTTTGAGTTGGTTTGAATTGATCTCAACAGCTTTGATGAACTGATTTAATATAGACCCAAGGGAATCATTTACGTTACAACAACATTAACCAGGTTGAGTTCACCCCAGATTAACTAGAATCAGGCCTACATCAATTAAGTTTGGTTTTCTGGTAGTGTGTAATGAATTTTGAGGCCTAATTTGGGTGGTTCCCTGAACCTCTGGTTAAGGGAACTTCCACTGACCTCCAAAGTAAGGGCTTGCCGCCAAATTCCTGTCAGATTCCACAATTGGAATCGTAATCTTCCAAAGAAATGTGGAAGAGAAACATCTCTTGACACAGAACCAGGTAAGCAGATCTTAAACTCTGTCTATTCCCAAAAACGCAAGCTTACTAATCCATCTGTTTGTGCCGCAGTCCAAATCACAAAGATGAGCAGCACACACTACAAGATAGGAGAAAATCAAGTCAAGAACCAGGTGAAGAAAACAAATACCAAGCGCAGTCCACCATCTCAGCTCACTCCATTTCAGACCAGAAGCAATAGCATCACACAAAATGAGATAGGGGGTAGATACAATGAGATGTGAAAAGAAGAAATGGGGACCACTCAGTCTTTGTGAGTCATCTTCCGGCTGGCTAGATTCATCAGCTAACAGAAATTCACTGCTTCATACATAACAAACAATCAATTTACATCTTGTTAGCTACAGGTATCAAAAACAGTCCAAAGGAGTAAGTGAAATAAAATAATTGTGTGAGAAATACAGAGAAAGACAACTGATGCTGAAAATGATGCTGCTGACAGAACAAACATTGATTTGATTCTCAGCAGAGGTTTGTCCTGCTGAACTTGCAAGGCAACCAATAAGGCAGCAAGCACTAGTGAAAAAGGTTAATACCTTCTTTTGATCAAGATACATAGACATAACAAAACCAATATTTTTTTCTACAGAAAAACACAATCTGTTTTCTTTTTATCCTTCCATCAACCACACTGTCTTAGACTTCTTCTTTTCATTCAATCTTATCACCAACAATGAATCCAAAACAGAGCGTGAGCAAATCATTCTGCTCTTAGGTGAATATCAAGTCATTATATTTTATCTTTCATAAACAATCAAGATTGTAGATACTGGCTACTAGACATCTAACTAGAAATAAAATTCTCTTAGTTATCGCAAAGAATTTAAGTCCAAACCTTGGCCTGAGCCTTTTCCCAGTTTTGGTGGAGGAAATTTCCCCCCTTTTTACATGTCCTTTGTAAGCAAAAAGCTTGTCACCAGTTGTACCATTAGAATCACCTGATTTCTGCACTTTTGATGGTTGACATCAGTCCCTTTTGTGATTAGTGGACCTCTTGCAATAAATTAATGAAGTTTCATTCCATCATCAGGTCACAAATCCTTGGATGCTTATCACATAAATTTCCCAATCTTCCAAATACAGACCAATCCTATACTTGGTTGCTTGCGTAAAAATGACTGCATACAAATGCCAAGGTCATACTGCATACTATGGAACTGAGGGCACTAGATGGGAAAATCAAAGTCTCACTTCCAATCATTGGAAGGAGCATCATTCCTGGACTTGCGAATTTAAAAAAGATCCACCAGGGAGGCGAGAAAGAAAGCTACATAGGCCTTTTCGCTTCATGGTCGTGGCACATCAGATGCGGGAAGAATTGAATTTCAAAAAAAAAAAAAAAAAAACATAAAAAAGGTCGACAAATGGCGAACCGCTCACGCCAAACAAAAAAGGGACTTGAGCTGCAAGCACCTTCTTCGGAAGCTTGCTTCGCGAGTCCCGAAGTTGGGGCTTGAGTTAAGCCAGTGAATTTGCGAAGAGACTCACCAGCCCTTCACAACCAGGCTTTTCTTGAAAGGTACAATTGCTCTTGGGGTCAGGACCCGGCGCCGCTCGCACTTCATTTATTGAATATGCATTTGCACCATTCCGGTACCCACTTGTGGCTGCGCAGCGTGGTTGCGGACCCACGAGTAATCCGGACATCATGAGTTAGGTCAAGAATGATGAGAGATGTTGGGGGAGCACTCGACTATAAGAATGGCCCCATCGGCCCTAGGACGGAATCCCCATACATATAAAACTGAAAGCATCGACTTACCAAAGATTCAAGCCCTGAGCGGTGTAACGAACCGGTCGGGATCCCATGCTTTTATTTTATATGGCGTCGATTGCAAGAGTGAACGCCGGACTACCCTTACTAATGCTCGCTGGGAACCCCTTCCTCGCCATGCTCTTGGACATCAAGCTCGTCTTCGGGTGGACTTGTGTGTCTAAGATCGCGTCTTGGTTGTCTGCTCACGAGCTTCGCGGAGCAGCCCACATTCCTTTGCTCCTCTCTTCTCCTCCATGATATTGAACTCTTGTAGTAATGTAGCAATGTCAAAAAAGAAGCCACGCTGTCTTTCTTGTGAGGCCTGACCTTCCTGCTCGTCTCGAAAACTGTCCGTTCGCCCTTCCACCCCATGCCTGGTTGGACACTGACGACATCCTTGCTTGGAAGTTCATCTTGCACTGCCTAGCCTATTCCTCCTGCACTTGTCTCGGCATCTCATTGTGATCACAAGTCGCTTTCTCAGCCTGATCCCGAGGGGCAAAGGTGAGTGTCATCAATCAGCCTTGGGGGTGTCAGGAAAAGGGATCGAATGACAGCTTTGTGAAAGCGCATGGCAGTCAACATATCCCCTGCAGACAATGCCACGGTTCCTGGAGCCAACGCACCTGATTATTGAGAACCAACCAACTGGACGATGCACGTGAGTCGGGCCCATCAGCACCAAGCGATCCCGAGCGGTTCCCGGGCGGTGTCAGGAGCATCTGGGTTAACCACCCCACTAACGCGTCTGGGACAAACGCTCAGCCCCAAAGGACCCTGTCGACAATTCGTACGTCCTCTCCCTCTCCCCCCATTCAAGAGAAATAATCATAATCATAATCCGATGGTTGCTCTTTCCTCCCCTTGATTCCTTCCAGTCGCTCGCTTACGGCCAATGTGTCGCTGATAGCTACCAGCTCGTCGAGAAAAACTCGTGCAAGATGGAGTTCGAAAACTTTAAACAATGCGTCCAAAAATCCGTATGCTTCCTTTTTATTCTTACTGTCTGGTTTTTTTCCGCTGCTTCTTTCTTCCTTCATCGTTCGGTTTTCCCAATCATACTACAAAAATGATTCGCCGGGCCACCCGCTCTCCTTCTCTTTCTTTTGCTGCTGGACTTCTTCTCGTGTTAATGACACTGATTCCTTGTCGCAATTCTTCCTGTTCTATTTTCCCAACCCCATTCAAAATTAAACCAAATATCACTATACCGATATCTTTCTGTCCATGTGTAGGTTGGTAAGAAGTGGTAGGATTTTGGATGAAGAAAAAGAGAACTCAAATCCTTGCCGCAATTAAAAATAAGCGAGATTATAGTTCAACAAAAAACTTCTCTGACCATAGCCTGTCATCGTCTAGTGGTTAGGACACCAGGTTTTGATCAAGGTGGTCCTCTCGTAGTGTCCTGGTAACCTGGGTTCGACTCCCAGTGACAGGTTCGTGTTTTTGGGCCTCACGTTCTGGTGGTTGGCCGAAGATTTTTCATCTCTTTTCTTCCTGAGAATAAGTCAGTATAACTTCTGAAACGTGTTGTCTTACATGCAAACAAAGAGAATAAAAAGAAACAACTAGAGAGAAAAAATGCAAAACTGCAGGAAGGTTTGAACCAAGCAAGCTGATCAAAATACACTCAGGAGGTTCAATGGTTCTCAACAATTTTCACATTCTGGGGGAGTGTTGTGCAGTATCCCTCCACTCCCCAGAGGTGAAAATGTTCTAAGCTCAGCATATCTTGTGAAAAGGGGGTTTCAAAGTTGCATGGTGAAAGTGATTTGCCTGAATTTGGGCATAATAATGCATCTTTCACAAAGAAAAAAAAAACAAAAAAAAACTATGGAACTCAAGCTTTCAAAATTGATTCAAGTGGTTATTAGATATGACAGGGATGATCATAATTGCATGGTTTTTGGAAGCCCAAGGCTAAGAAGAAGAAAAAAAGAATGCCTATGAGTGTTGAGCCCATCAACTTCCCAGATTTGTTTGTGCTCCAGGGCAGGCCTGATGATCAGAGATGCCAGACTATCTCAAATCTTCTCCCCATAAAATGTGGGACCAAAGAGACTGCCCTCTCAAAAAAGAAATACAAATCAATTTGAGGGCCAATTGTGCTCCTATTTTATCCATCCAAACCTATCACCAGGTTGGATAATGTCTGGCACTTGCAATATAGAAGGTGCCATAAAAGGTACCAAGGGTGCCTTTGACATACTATCTATAGGGCACTTGTTATATGGAAGTGCCAGAATGTGTCCCCTGGTGTATATCCAACAGCACCTTCACCATCAATTTGGAACACACACCTTGCAAAACAGGCACACTCTCCTTGGTTTCTTTCTTGCCCCTGTGTTCCTTGATGCTTCATGTGTTTGGACAGCATGCTGCATCACTTGCTCATTCTCTCAGCCACTTTTAAAGCAACATAAATAAAAATTAACATACCCACTGGGGCAGAACAGCTCATCAGGTTCCCCCCCACCTCTCTTCCTCACAAGAATTGGTTTACATGAAGATAAGCAAAAACCTCTCTCAGAAACAGGTCTGGGTCTGTTGTAGTACATCTCCCTTGGCATGATAGAAAAACCACATTAGACCAGACAGATCATCCATTCCCATCACAAATATATCTTTGTTCCCATCAACTAGTGCAGTAGCTCACATTGCAGACCAGCTTTAACTTGAATTCAGAAGGATCACCACCACACACATTTTTTCTCATAAAAAACAAAAATCAGATCAAGAGCCAACAAGCCACAACCCCAACAACAAATAAGTAACACCTGAAACTAGTAAAAAAAGCAAAGCAAAAAAAAAGAACGGTAAGAGAAGAAGGGGGGTATATATAATAAGGCTTGGTGTGTATAGATAATATGGGAGTGTAAGCTGGCTGTGTATACAATCTGTTCCTGGGCCACAGAAGATCACAGACCATGTCACATTAGAGAACAGGAAAAAACATACAGCACAGAGTGTGAGAGTGTGTGTGGCGCAGAGGAAAGAGTCCGAAAAGGGAAGGTTTTCTTTCATCTTTTTTTCTATATTTTGTGTCTTATATATTTTGATCAAGAGGGTTGAAGAATAGTCGGCGCAGAAGGAGAGGAAGGAGG